CCCCAAAACCCCAAAACCCCAAAACCCCAAAACCCCTAAAATTAATAAAAACTGAAATTATAAATAACAAATCCCCAATAATGTCCAGTCAAGTTCCCAAAAAGTACTTCTCCTTTAAACCTAATCCCAATTATTTCCTTTTCCTCTACAATAATTCCTCAAAAATTCTTCTAGTATAGTTTCTAGTGGCTAAACTCCCGTTTTTGTTCACAACCTCACTTAAGGTGTCTAAATGGAAGCTTCTGGGTGCTGAGCTTTGAATAACTGAGTTTAGGCAGATATTGGTAGCACCAGTGTTGTATGTAGTGGTTCTAATTGGGTGTCGCTAGCCTTTGTATTTAATGATTTAAGTCCAATAGCTGTATATCTTTAGTGTACAAACAGTGAGTGAGTTAGAGAAATTAGTGTTGTTTGAAATAATTTGGCATTTAACTTTGTTTGATTGCAAATGAAAGCAAGGATAGTTGTATTTTTACTTAAAGTGTTGACGCTGTCAAAGGAAATATACAGGCTGGATGATGAAATAGGGTGTTGAAGAATAGAGTGATGGAGCCGCGGCTGTTTGTGATTTATATTCCGATTGAGATTGATATCTTGCAATTGAGTGTTGCTTTTACCTTACTTTATTAGAATTAAAAGTTTATAGCCTTCCCACCATTGACACACTAGCAAATACATCTCTCTCCCACTACCAAGTGCATGAACATATATTTGCACAAGATAAACAGGAGTATGACCAGTTCAACCTAAAGAGAGGAATAATCAGGTCAAGCGGCAGCTATATCAATGAAGACAGGCAATCCAACCACATTAAGTACGTACAAGACTTATTTGTAGGAGGCGCTCGAACAGTGTCTCCAAGGAATACAGTAAACCAAATGAACCCAAAATGAACAAGATCGAGTTCAAATTTGAAAGTAAATAGGGCTTTAGGAATAGTATTGAGAAAACCTGGGCATGGCTTGAAAGAATCCTAGAAAATTTAAGGTTAGGCTAATGCGAACAAAATTTGGCCAGAACGAAGTTTTTGTCAATTCCCTTAGATCTATTACAAAAATGTTGATGCTTGTTAAGACGTGGCTGTGGGCATGTATCTTGATTCTTAGGAAATTAATATTTAAAAAGTAGTTTCAGGCTAAAATATATCTGAAAATATTTGGTTATTTTGGTAAAAAATATTTTTATTTTTCTGAAATTTCTAGTGTCAAATTCAAAAGTTCTTTTCCTTATTCCTCTTATATATGATTAAATATAGCTGAGATGAGAGAAAAAGCTGAAGAGAAGTATAGGAATGATAGAATTAGAGATGTAAAAGTTAGGGATATGTACTTGCTTGATCAAATGTTCTCAAAATAAGATCCCTATGGCCTTAAAGAGACATAATTTTAAGGATAAATTTGGCGTTAGACTCTCGCCTTATTTCAGTAAAACAGATGTTATCATTAGTATCCCACTTACTTAATTTTAGATGATAAAAGTTTTGATAAGGTGAAGCCCACAATTAAGGAAAATCCCTCTACGGTCAAAAAGAAGTAAATATTTACTTTACCTGTCAGGAAATTGCGAAAAATTCATAAGCTGCACAAGAGGATCTCTTCAGAATCTCCTCCACCAACTTACTGAAAGGAGTACACTAACAAACTTCAGAATTCAAGTAAGCAAATGCCATAACTTGTAGTCGTGAAAAAGCTTCATAAGAGAGCTATTAGTTCTGTGGCAAAGACAGGCTCTCTAAAGTCCAAGTAAGTCTACTTTTCTTTCCTGAAATCATAGATTTCTTCATTTTAATGTCAATTAAGGTATAGGAGATTTCAGAAGGATATTTCAAAAACTCCTCTAAAAGTGAATAGGACAATAAATGAAACCAAACTGTTAACGCCTATTTACGTAAGCGATCATTAGCTATTATGTATAGAAAACAGCCCTTCCAGCGAGGATGGAGATGACAATAGATGACCGGGTCCAAACAGGACCCAGGTCTAAGTCAACAGTGAAACTAAGACATAGGTTAATTAATATCGCAAACCTATGTTCTGAAGTGAAACGGAAATAACAAACCAATTATAACGCTAAAGAAGGACTTTTTAATTGAAAATAAAGAAATTGACAGAATCTCGAGCCTAATGGGCCGCTTAGAGAAACTCAAGGGGAGTGACCCGCGGTCTTTCTACCTCATATACAGTATATTTATCCCTAAAGTCTAGAATCAATGCATAAGAATATTGAAGAGCAAGAGTCAGATATTTTTGAAACTAGAGAGGAATTCAGGAATGGCATTGCTGACCCTGTTCACTGCAAGAAAAATAGTCATCTGTAGGCTTCAGTTTTAATTATTGCTAAAGGGGTTTTGGGGTTTTGGGGTTTTGGGGTTTTGGGG